CATTGCATGGAACGACAGAACTTCTTGTCTAGTTTACACCTCTGCCTTTGTACTTACTATGGCCCATCTTTGGGAGACAGAAAGAGCCACTCGGAGCATTTTATGTGTTGCATGATCTAGAAGAGGGACATAATTGGAAACACTAAGCATTAAGGGAAAGGCAAAACCTTTTTCAGAGGGGGAGTTGCTACCATGGACTGAGCTGCTGTAGATCACCCGTAGATAGCATCTATAGGTGAGGTCCTGGCTGCTGTAGATCACCTGTAGACAGAATCTATAGGTGAGGTCCTGGCTGCTGTAGATCACCTGTAGACAGAATCTATAGGTGAGGTCCTGGCTGCTGTAGATCACCTGTAGATAGAATCTATAGGAGAGGTCCTGGCTGCTGTAGATCACCCGTAGATAGAATCTATAGGTGAGGTCCTGGCTGCTGTAGATCACCTGTAGACAGAATCTATAGGTGAGGTCCTGGCTGCTGTAGATCACCTGTAGACAGAATCTATGGGTGAGGTCCTGGCTGCTGTAGATCACCCATAGATAGCATCTATAGGAGAGGTCCTGGCTGCTGTAGATCACCCATAGATAGCATCTATAGGTGAGGTCCTGGCTGCTGTAGATCACCCATAGATAGCATCTATAGGAGAGGTCCTGGCTGCTGTAGATCACCTGTAGACAGAATCTATAGGTGAGGTCCTGGCTGCTGTAGATCACCCATAGATAGCATCTATAGGAGAGGTCCTGGCTGCTGTAGATCACCTGTAGACAGAATCTATAGGTGAGGTCCTGGCTGCTGTAGATCACCCATAGATAGCATCTATAGGTGAGGTCCTGGCTGCTGTAGATCACCTGTAGACAGAATCTATGGGTGAGGTCCTGGCTGCTGTAGATCACCTGTAGATAGCATCTATAGGTGAGGTCCTGGCTGCTGTAGATCACCTGTAGACAGAATCTATAGGTGAGGTCCTGGCTGCTGTAGATCACCTGTAGACAGAATCTATAGGTGAGGTCCTGGCTGCTGTAGATCACCTGTAGACAGAATCTATAGGTGAGGTCCTGGCTGCTGTAGATCACCTGTAGACAGAATCTATAGGTGAGGTCCTGGCTGCTGTAGATCACCTGTAGATAGAATCTATAGGAGAGGTCCTGGCTGCTTGGGGTGGGGGACCACTCTCTGAAATATAAACATGTACATGTAGGTAGAATTTGACAGTCTTCTTTAGAAACAAAGCAGCACACCCTGTGTCTGCTGCTGAAGCTGTTGAGTTCAGATGTGACCAGCACAGCAGGTTCAGAGACTGTCCTCTTGAGTTAATACTACTGCTTCCTTCTTCTAGATCACCACAACACATGGTGAGAGACTCAAGGTCACCGTAAGCTGCACCTTGTGGTGGTTTTGATGTCTTCATCTTAGCCAAGTTAAACCTACAAACACTGTCAGGGAGCGTATACCCAGAATGCTTTGGGAAACCATGATAACCACTACTGATGCTTTGCAATAGGGACCATTATCTGTGTATTTCACAATAAAGCTTTGTGGTGCACCCAGACACTCAGCTGCTTGTGTTCCTGAGGACAGCATCTCCTCTGCCGCACCATCTAGATTCCGCCCCACTAGCTTTTTATAAATGACAATGAGATCTCATTGTCACACAGCTCCGAGGAGAGAAATGGAGTGATGTCATAGCTGGGAAAGTGTTCTAGAGGGACAACTTAATTACATTAGACATGGCGAGGCTGTCCCATGGCACTCAACAAACGGCAGGGCTAATTGCAACATCCAGAAGTATTTTGCAAAGAGTCACCAATCCCTTTGGTGAGCATGAGGCTCCCAAGCCATTCCCAGTGGGCAGGGTCCTCTGTTTCTCTTACAGTAGAACATGGTGGGTAAGAGAGTAGTTTTGACGAGAGACAGGCACAGCGTTACGTTTTATCTCACTATTAATTCCGAACTTGGTTTCTCCCCTAGGACAGAATAGAAGTAACTCTGGGTGTCTTCAGGGTCATAATTGGTGGAGGAGGCTGTATATTATTCACTCAATGCAGCTCTGGGCACATAACAAATGTTTGGCAGATTGTGACTGCTGTTACCACAAATTTGGCTCACTAAACCATCTTTAATAATCGCACAGTTGGGGGTGGATAGATAGCTCAGTGGTTCAGAGAATGGTTTGCTCTACCAGAAGACCCAAGGTTTGACTTCCATGTCAGTGCCCACATGGAAGCTCACAACCATGTGTAACTCCAGTTCCATGGCATTTAATGTCCTCTTCTGGCCCCCACTGCTACCAGGCATGTAAGTGGTGTACATATGTACATGCAGGCAAAATACCCATGCATACTAAAAAGACAAAAGGAATTACAAACTAAAGGTTATAGAGCCTCGCTTTATCTCATGCAGGACATCAATGCCCAGTGAAGAATTCTCACAGTGGTAGTCTTATGTTTCTCCAACGGGACAGTACATAACGGACCTTCTTAATCCATTCTAACTTTGCTCATATAAAGGGACTATTCTACCTCAGTTAATTTCCCATTTCATCAACTCCAACATCTAGAGGCTTCCCCAAGGAAGCAGACAATTTTTCTCTTTTTCTTTTACTAATTAATTTTTTTAAAAAGAAGAGTGTGGTTATATAGCCCAGGCAGGTCTAGAACTCTCCATCCTCCTACCTCAGCATCTAGACTGCTCAGACTGCAAGTGTATACTACCACCGGATCCAGCTAATTATTTTGCCTTTTAAAAAACTGTAATGATATAAAACACACATTGTTGCGTGTCCAGTATGTGCTTGGTGGTGGCCTGGATATGAGCTAATTTCACCTTTACAACAACGGTGCAAAAAGGAACTGCTATTGAGCGGTTCTGTGGATGCAGAAACTGAGCGTCAGAGGCCGAGCAGCAGTTCCCGTGCTGTGGTCGTAAGAGTCAGGCGATGAATATGAAGGACTAGTGAACCATGGGTACCCTGGAGATGTGAAATGTGTGCTTTCATCTGCGAGCTCCGTGCTGGGGAGCCAGGGCGGAGAAAAGAGGATTCTGACCGCAGGCACGCTTGCTTTCTCAGCCAACTGGCAAACTAGGAGGAGGGCCCAGCTCAGCACTCTGTCTTTGCTTATATTTTTCACAGGATTCAAAAAGTTATTCTGCATTTTATGTGTATGTGTGCATGTGGGCCTGAGGATTTGCTCATCACCTGTGTGTTTGTGTCTGTAGGTCAGAAGAGGGCTTTTAATCCCCACACGGGTGCTGGGAACCAAACTCAGGTCCTCTGCATGAGAAGTCGGCTCTCTTCTGAGCCATCTCTTCAGCCCCTGGTCTTACATTTTAATTGTTTTAGAGTACACAAGCTTTCTGATTTTGTTGTTTCATCCTGTTTGGCCCAGCACAGGATGGATCTAATGGATGCTTACCCGGTTCTCTAGATAATCCTGAGTTTTGGTTGCCAGTGAGAAACAATCACAGATAAATCCTTGCAAGACAGATCTGTTCTCCCTTGAGACATCTGAAAAAGCATTCTTAAGATGGGGATGGGGGCAGGGAAAGTGAGGCACCATCACCACTAGAAAGACTATGTGGCTTCATTAAGGAAAAAATCCACGGCAGCGCTGGAGAGTTTGCTCAGTGGTTGAGAGTGCTTGCTGCTCTTCCAGAGACTGGCTTTCAGTCCCCAACCCATCCAGGTGGCCCACAACTGCCTGTGTAACTCTAGCTCCTGACATCCAAGGGTACCTGCATTCATGTATACACAGACACACACACATGCATGTAAAAATAAAATAAAGGTTCAAGTATGTGCACACATACACATACACTGACATCTACATACACGTATGTATGTAAATAGTCTTAAGAAATCATACTAAAGGAAGGGAACTCATTTGTGTGCTGGGTTTAAGTACATTAGGAAGATGGTCAAATTACTGATTTCACAATTAATACTTAGTGGTTTGCATTTAGTTATTGACAGTCTGATTTTCTATGTTTGGGGGTTCCATGTTAAGAAGTGATAGCTTTGGGTTCCCTGTTGGCAAATTGAGTTCCTGGGTCTACATGCTGGACCCTCCAATCCAAGGACTGGGAATCTGGGCTAAGTGGCTGAGGGTCTTTGGGCTCCTAGTCCCCTCAATAACCCTCAGGTCTGTACTTCCCTCATCTCTCAAGTGGCCTCACTATTTCAATCCTCTGATAATGAAAACTACTCTCCCCTCTTCAGCCAGGATGAGCTATGCAAGGAATAAATATTAGGAAGTTGCTTTCTTGCTTAAAGGCTCTTTCTAAGTCTCTGAGTTAGCCTGTTCCAAAGCTAGGCCCCTGTTTACCCATGCAGGCAGCGTGCTGGTTTTGTTTAGGACTGAGGCAGGCAGCATCATTTAGGGAAATGAGCCTCTGTTCCTGACTCTGATGCCCTGAACCGTGGAAATCCTGTTAGCCATGCCAGTGCTCTACTAAGAAGTGTGACAGGGAGCCAGTTTTGGTCAAAGCAAGTGGTGTGATGAGGGGTCGGAGACAGGGGGATGGTAATGGAGGCAGGGTATGGACAAAATACAATGATAGAGATGCATGGAAAAAGTCATACCACGCTAACAAAAATGTAATAAAATAGAAAACACATTCTCTGTGTGACTATGGTAATGTTGCTGTTTGGGGACACTTGTTGCATTTAAGCTGAACAATACAATAGGCTGTTGGTACCTTTACAGTTTGGATCCCTTGAGGGTGGCCTTTCATTTTTACTTGTAGTCAAATATGTATTTTCTATAGCCTTTAAGAAAAACATTACATTTATTTTCAAGAAAACATAGGGCTCTTCAAGATCAGGCATCTGGCTATTTTTTTCTGTCTCTTGTCAGCTACTTCATGCATTCTGTGCTCTGGTAATACTGAGTTATTGGTAATTGTTCTTTTATGCTCCCATAGCCATGCATGAATCAGACTCTACGTGCTGAATGCCATTTCCCATTTCCCCTGTTTTCATGCATAATTCCTTTTTATGTTTCAGAACTAACATGCATCACCTCCTTGGATCAGGTTGTTCTTTCTAGAGAGATGCCTCTCCCAGAGCTCGTGCAAATAGTCATATACACAACTGGTCAAAGATTTGCTGACCACAGGAATCACTCCCTACTTCCTCCCTTCAATCTTTGTATGGGATTGGATACGACCTGCATATGTCAACAGGGATCAGAGGCACCTGTCACACTGGTGCTTTTGTAGAAAATTCAGCTTGACTCCCTCTGTGCTGTCCGACTTTTTGTAGTTGTAGAAGGGGCTCACAAAGATGCTACAAAGAAATTGAGTTCAATGACAAAAATGCCTGTACTCGAGTTTGTGATCTGGGCTGAATGGAGGGATTCTAGAATCTAGGAAGCAGATAGTTCTGAAAGGACCTTGTCCAATCTGTGTCACAAGTCCCTGGCCTGGTGATGCTGCCTCCTTCATCCTTTTCCCTTGATCAGATCTCTGGGTCCTGAGCCCTCAAGTCATGTTCCTGCACTGTTCTCCTTAGCTCGGTGTTTGCTGGGCTCAGAAACATAACCTACCTTACCTTGGGCTCTGATAGTTTCTCTTAAGATTAAAACAGATCCTCAGACACAAAGTTTTGTTTATCCTTTTTTTTGTTTCATTGCATTTAGAGAGTGATTGCTTGGGGGCATATGGATGCTGCTTTCCCACATATGTTTGCTTCATTTAATTTCTTGCCAAACATGTGTATGCTAACATGGTTCTAATGTGCAGAACCGAAGCCGCAGTATCCTTTCACTCAAGCTGGCTCAGCTTCATGGCACTCACTTTCCACTGCCCCGTCTGCATGCCCTGCCACTCAAGCCTCATCTAAGGCCTTATTATTGCAGTCTGCAGAGAAAACCATTTTCAGATTTTTTTTCTGGGATTAAAGGAAAGCCAATGAACTCAAGAAGTCCAGACTTGATTTTCTTCTTGAACTTGATTACTTTGAAGATTTTTTTTAGAGCCAGTTCTAAAATTCTGGGGAATCAAAACTATCTTTAAGCACCTTCCTCTCTTCTTTATACTACCTGAGATTACCAGGATCCTCATACCAGAGCACAAAGAGATTTATCATTCTCATCTGGTCCCCACCAAATTCCCAAAGTTTCATCTTCTACAGCCACACCTCCAGGATCTATAAAGTGCCAGCAAATACTGGGAAATCCTGGTAGTTTGTCAGCATCTGTGGTAAAACAGAATCCAATGCAAAGGCCAGCAACTTCAGCTAAGCATTCTTTAAAAAATAATTCCATAAGTATTTGCTAGTTGTCAGCCATGCTACCAGGAATGGGGCAGCAATGCCTCTTTTGGGGCTGTCCCTGGGGAGCCTTCACCTTACTTAGTCCCTTCAACCTGGCCAAATGGGTATAGACTCAGGCATGCTAAGTTCTCAACTTGAGGAGCTGGTGCAAAGACAGAAGTCTTGAGCTGGAGAACTGGTCTACCTCAAGACCTTGAGTTCAGCAAGAACATGAGGAGGTCCAAACCCAACATGCACTGGAATGTCAGGTGCAGGATGATTTTTTTTTGAGACAGGGTTTTCCCTGTGTAGCTTTGTAGAACTAGGCTGGCCTCAAACTCATAGAGATCTGCCTGCCTCTGCCTTCTGAGTGCTGGGATCAAAGGCGTGCACTACCACCTCCTGGCTGTGCAGGATGATTTTTGTCCACAGTTGGTTGGGTGGGTGATACAACTCCAGGCACGTTAATGTCCTGGCCCTGCCTGGATCAAAGGATGCTGGACAGGCTGGAAAGATGACTCAGTGCTTGCCACACAAGCATGAATACCTAACTTCAACCCACAACACCCAGAGCAAAGTCGAATGTAGAGGCACCAGGAAGGTGAAACAAATGAATTGGTGAGCTCCAGGTTCAATGAGAGCTCCTGTCTCAAAAGATAATGTGGACAGTGATTGAGGAGGACATCAAACTTTGATCGCTGGTTGCTACACTTACACACCACACACACACACACACAGAGAGAAGAGGGGGGGGGTAATGGGGATCCAACGACTGAATCTTGGGTCTTCTGAGTGATTGGCCCTTTACATCAGGAATTTAGCCAGACTGTCTATGCACACACATTTTGGAAGAGATGTAGGAGGGATGATTTCCCACCAGGGGCAGGGAATTGGTATGGGCAGGAGTTTGGTGGCCATGGCAGTGAGGATAGGGCGCGGTGAGTCCATTCACTTCAGGAACTGGGAAACTGGCTTCGGTGAAATTCTTCACAGAGTGGTTGTTCCAAAAGCAGAAATGAAGAAACACTGAAGAATACTTGGTGTACTTTACATAATCATTTTCCTGATTGCAAAACTAAAATCAGAATGCAAGTAGTGGATGCAACTGGGAAAGAGCCAGCAGGAAAGTACAAAGAGGAAGCCTGCCAACCAAGGCTGAGCACCGCCCACAGAGCTAAGCACCACCCACAGAGCTAAACACCGCCCACAGAGCTAAGTGCTGCCCACAGATGAAGCGCATCTGCAGAGTATCACTGTTTCTGTGATTTAAAGATTATTTGTGCAAGCACATCAACAATTTTGAGATCTCTTTTTACTTCATACTATTTCATATTCAACCATCTATTTATTTATTTTTAGGTTTTTCAAGACAAGGTTTCTCTGGCTATTCTGGAACTAGCTATGAAGATGGGGCTTGCTTCAAACTCAGCGATCTGCCGGCTTCTGCCTGTAATTAGAGGCGCGTGCCACCATTGCCTGCCACCCAATCACTTATTTATACGTAAATTATTTATAGATTTAGTTTTCCTCTTTATATATTTATTCATATATTAAATTGTTTATTTATATGTTTAAATTTTTCTCGAGACAAGGTCTCACACTATAGTCCAGGCTGGCCTGTCATTTTTACTATGTAACCCAGCTGGCCTCAAACTCCTGCCTCATTTTATTGAGTGCTGGGGCTTCAGGACAGAGCCACCAAACTTTGCAAGAGAAAGGAAACCAATGCAGATGCCAAATATCCAGAGTTAACTTGGTGCACTTTATCCTTTGGAAGATACCTGGCCTCATAGAGGAAAGATAGCCTTTGTGGCCTAGAAAGCGCAGCCCGTGTTGCCTGCCTCTGTCCTCGATACCAAGAAAGGGTCCCACCAGCGGCTACACTTCCAAGGACAAATTACAGAATAGTCACTTTCTTTTTGCTCATAGTACAGATGAACAGTAGATATTTACTTACCGGAATGCATTTATAAGGTCTCTTATGTTTTCCTCTTATATGGCTGTCTCATATAAACAGATGGGCAAAACACAGAAACAGTAGAGAGTAAAGGAAGAATCATAAATATGAAAACACAAAAGCAGAATTTCACAGATAAATCCAGGGTAGGCTGTGCAAGGCTATGGGAAGTGTTAACTGCGGAAGGCTCCCAGAGTACTGGAGATGCCCTTGTGCCTCAGTCTTTCCCAGGGCTGGCCTCTGACTCTCATTCTGATGCTAAAGTTGTCGCTTGTTGTTTTAGTTTGCTTTCTGCAGAAAAGGGCTCGTTATGCAGTGTGGTAATTGAATCAGTGGCTCCTGCCTGATTGAGCCAGCAGATGAACACTGACCGGCTGGTTTTCTCCTGGTGCAGTTGAGTTACTGGTCAAATCTGCACAAAAACACGCCTAACAAGGCAGAATGCTTTCAAAACCAGCCGGAGCCTGGTGGGAAGGCATTCATACACATGGCTCATTTATTTCAAATCACACCCAGGAAATCCAGTTTATTTAAACAAATAGCCTAGTTTGGGAGGGAGGGCTGAGGAAGAGCAACTGGGGGTAGCCATAAAATGTTAAGTATTGCATAGCTGGATAAAGCGGGATCAGGAGGTCTGATGACTGTTTAAATTATGATAGAATGTAAACTCATGGGTGACATCTAATCCGGCCATATTTCCCGCAATTATTCCACCCCAGCAGGGTTTACTTTCCCATCAGTACTGGATCACAGAGCTGTCAGCTGGCGTTTTTGAAGGGTGATTTGTTGCCCTAATGATGATACTGAAATCTGTTTATGGTTGTTTATCTAAGGGTCATCTTTCTTCCAAAGCAGTCTTCTTCTCTGGGGATTCTATCTGGGCAGCTTTCTTTAATTCCCCAAACAGAACAACTGTCAATATTACACGAAGGGCAAGGATCTTGTCCATGTTAATTTTATGACTGATGACTGCATCATAGTCACCAAGCCAACTATGCTAAGAATCATGCCTTATGCATTCAAGATGCTTTAAGTATCCAGAGACCATAAGCAAGCATCGTTTCCTATGCTGGTTCTGGAGAAGAGAGCGATTACACATATCAATCATGTGACTGTTATAAACAGTAATTATATATGTTGGACACGCTACAATATGCCAGCCACTGTTGTCAGTGATGACCCCAGGATGTTGGTGCTGTTAGCGTCCTGTTTAATAGTGAGGAAATCAAGGAATAGGAAGCTTAGGCAACTTGACCAAAGCCATTTAGTTGGCATGCTTTGTACCATCTTACGGAGGGTGGGAGGAGAGCAGCATGATGTAGTACTGGGCTTCACAGTATCTAACTGAAGTCTCAATCAGGGACATGGGAATGGGTACAAACTGCTTGAGCTACGGTCAGCAGTGGCTCCCACCGGGCTCTGCACTCCCTTTAAGTTATGTGGATTTTTGGAAATAGTTTCGTGCAAAGCTCGCATTCTATTCTGTAAGAGAGTTGGTTTTATTCCAAATCTGAACCAATTTTCTAGAACTAATGACCCCCCCACGTGCCTTGTTTATCTTGGACTCTATGGTGGCCCTGACATCCTCCTCTCGCTCCTGCTGTTAGTATGTATCTTCCTGTTGGAGAATTCCAGGTGTCACAGGAAGATACTAAAGGTGCTTTGTAAGCACTGAGGGAGACAGCAGTGTTGCTGTTGGGTGGCTCAGAGACATGGATGAATCATCTGTGGTGCAGGGCTTGGAATTTATCACACGCAAAATAGGGCATTGGGTCTCGTGGAACTCTTCAGGCTCTAGAAGGCTCTCAGAAGGTGAAGGCCGCCCAGATGCCTCAGTTGCACACTGAACATTTTGAACTATGGGACCCATGAGTTTTACTTATTTCTAATGTACAATGTTTGAGAAAAGCTAATAGTGGAGGGAGATGTCCTCCGAAGGTAGTCCAGGCAAGAGCTGAAATGGCAGGGCAAGCTCTTTCCCTCCTCAGAATTCTACCTGCCTCTGCCTGGCGTG